GAATTATTAACAATATTTTGGATAGATTTGATAGGAATATAAAGCAATTTTTTAATGTTTGATGCTTCTTTTAATTTAACTTTTGGTATATGTAGTTGATGTTTTGTGAGACTTGACAAGAGACCAAAATTTGAATGGATTTTAAGGTGAATTATTTTAAGCACGTGGGTCAATGGTTGCCCCGGCGGCGTGGTCAAGGTAGGATAGCATTCAAGGTGATGTCATTTATCTTCTTAATCAATGGTTTATAATTGATTTTAATATTAGATTATAATATAAAGTTTGGATTTATTTGTTTCTTTTTCTAATGGGCCCATGTAGCTTGTAGCATGGTCATGTTTAGTTATTGAATGAAATAATGAACAAACTATTCATAGTCAATAAAATTGGAAACAAGTATTGTTTATGTGATAACTTGTTGTTGAAGGGTTAAATTAGCAAGTTTCATGTGGAAAGAAATTAACTGTGAACTGTAATAGTAACAATCTATTGCTTAAAATTAATTAGAAAAATTAATCTAAATTAAATTTTGATACGAATTTTATAGAATAACAAACAATAGCAAATCAATAAAGTCAACTTTAATTAGTAAAAATCATCAGGTAAATAAAAGTGTGAAATAGACTATTACGTGCCTTTAAAAAAATCTACGGAGTAAAGTCAAAAATTTCCATAAGCATCTTCTAAGTTCTAACCTTGCTGGCTGTGATGCACGGAAACACTCTCTGGGTCAACGTTTCCGTTTCCGACATCATTTCTGTTTCCGAAACTCTGGAAACTTCTCCGAAACTTTAATTAAAATTAACCCTTAGAGATATGGATTTTAAATTGAAAAAACATTTTTCCACGTAAAAATTTGATTTTTTCAACGGTTAATCTCCTAAATATAGCCTAATTTATTGTATTTTTTGCTTGCTTTCTTTATTTTTCACTTTTCATTAAGAAAATATGTCAATAATATTGCCTTTTGAAGGTGATATTTCAAATTATTTTTCGTGTCTCCGTTTTCCATAATTTTAAATTTTTCGTTTCCCCGTTTTCTCGTTTCCGTTTTTGTTTCTCGTTTCCATGAAACCTAGCTTGCTGGTTTTTCTCATAATTGTTTATTAAAATTAATGGTTGGGTTGATAAAAAAATGAAATATATACTTCGTATTACTTTAAAAGCTATACCTTCAATTATTACTCCGTATTTTGCAAAAGCTAACGAATGTCCCGGGGATGTTGGATAAGATAATTAAAAGTAGAAATATTAGATAAAAATGAACATTAATTACACTGATCAACGCGTGATTTTGACATGCATTCCTAAATTAATACCACTTTAGAAAATAAATAAAATGCTTATCTTACGCCTCAGGTGCGTTCGTTAGCAAGATCCTTATTATTTTTCTAAAAACCCTACACTCATCTAATGCTAATATTTTTAACGTTTGACAAAAGCTACCTAAATGCTATCTCTACCACTAACTGCTATATGAAACACTACCTTACCAAACACACTTATTTTTCCTACTAGTGTTTTGACTTGGTCAAAACACTTACCACTACCTAAACGTAGCCTAAAACAAATATTATTTGTACTTTTCAAGGGAGCTTTGACTCGGCCTACTACCAAACAGGGCCTAAATGTAGCCTAAAACAAATATTATTTGTACTTTCAAGGGAGTTTTGACTCGGTTAATGTTCTTATATACGATAAATATTACGGAGTAGTAACTATGTAGCTTAGTAGCTCACTGGGGTCTAGAAAGGAAGCCGCATACCAGGTTTCATGTGAAAGAAAGAAGAAACATTCCAAAATTCCTTATATGGCATTGGCAGGCATACGTAAGGGTATTGCTTAGCCTAAGCATCATCAAATATGTACAAATAATACAGAAAATGACACCTAACGATTGATTAGGATTTCACCTCAACACCAAGCCAAATTTCTTTGACAAAAAACACCAAAGCCAATTTTGAAATGATGACATTAGGGACACAAACTAACTACAAACATTGCACATCACAATTAAAGCATTTAGATAATGTTACATCTAAAAAAAAAAACTATTGTTCCCCTTTTTATAGGATATGTATGCATACATTATTCACCAATAATAGTCATTACTTAAGGAAGTTTGTTAAATTTTTATACTACTATTATGAAATCGATCATACTAAGGATTGTGTGAGGTCAGTCAAGATGTATGTATTGAATAGTTTTCACTATGAAATAGATCTATAATAACTCAGTTTGAGGTTAGGTTAATATTTTTTTTTTTGGATAAGTTAGTTGATTAACTTCATGATTTATACTCCGTAATAAATTAATATGAGTCGGTCAAATTTTCCAAGAAGAAGGGAAATACTGTATTAGATAGGATACTACATGCCTATATAGCCCTCAACTACGACACTAAAATCGTCTAGAGAGAATTCTATTCAGTAACAAAGAATTTAACAAGTGTAAGCTAAATGTAACATGAACCTCCAAAATACCTTTCAATGGTACTAGGATTAATAATGAACACAAATGATAGTTTATTATAAAATTAGTTGACCATTGCAGGAGAATACTATCTATTTAAACGCATAAAGCTAAGCTAGTAATTCGTATGTGATATTTTTTTTTTATTTATTTATTTATTTATTATTATTATTATTATTATTATTATTATTATTATTATATTATTATTATTATTACTCTATACTCTTTTCGTTTTTCTAAATTTACTCTTATACTCCCACTTTTTGATTGCTGAAAAATAAGGCTCATACTCGTATTTTAGGATAGAGATCAATAGTAGCATACAAAATCCCAAACACCTTTCACATGTAACTTGCTATATAGTACAATTCTACTACAGTACTACTAATCAAATCAATACACCTTCCAACTAAAATTTTCAATAATGCATCTCACATTCAATAATTCACTAAATTAATTCCCCCCCCCCCCCCCTTCTTTTTCACAATTTTGATTTTAGTATAAATATCTAATGTTTTTTTTTTTTTTTATAATTTTTTTTTTTAACATAGTATATTTTATATTTTATTTTTTAGGGACAAAGAAAGAAAATAGAATAAGAAAACTTCTAGAAGGAAGAGAATGAAAATGCCAAAACTTAACGCTCGCTTAACCACCTATGGTCTGTGGATGCTAGCAATAAATTGCATTTGTTTATTACTAAATCATTTCATCATTATAGAAGGGTCCATATATATAATGGCCCTCCTTTCAATTCACCAACTTAATTTGATTATTGATATTAAATTAATTACTATATTCTCAAATTAGTTCTACTAATACCATTGCTCTTAATTTAGATGGTAGAACAAACCAAATTGCTACATATGAAGTATGATTTAACGTTGAAAGGTAAAGGTTCATGCATTCACCCTCAATATAATTTTTTATATTTTATTTTTGAAAAAAGAGAAAAGGAAAGTGCGATGCTACTTGGAATAATAATAACAATTAATATGGCCCCATGAATATAATACTTCATACGAGTCTATGTCATGAAAATGGACAATAATTATTCATCTTGTTGAAAATTAAAGAATCCATGCATATAGTTGGAACGAAATAGACTTTTCCATTTAATTTAATTAATTTTTTTGCTTATGTAGTTTGATTTAACAACCATTAGAATAATTGTAATTTGAATTAGGCCAACTTCGTTCTTAATCTCTTATTAATATGGATACATGCTCGAACACGTGTAATGTAATATGTTGATGTATGTATTCCTAAATATAACACACTAAGCTAGATAGTCGAGCCTGACATTAATCTCAGTTACTCATCAAATGATGACACTCAGTTCATATTATAGCTCTTCGAGCATCTTCTCTTTTCCATTTCTCCTTTCTTATTTGTAGGATTGTCATACATGAATTAGCATCTGTAAATTCTTTTCGAACTACTACCTATATGTATATTCACCTACTATATTACCTTTATAATATAAAGTAGGGCTTATATATGTATAAACACAAAACAAAAATAGGTTCAATGGCCAATGGGCTGGGCCATATAATATTAACAAGGAAATTAAGAGAATTAGGATAACTGAATAATAACATTAACAAGGAAATTATTAAGAAGGATAAGAAAGTACTAGTAACATCGAAGCTTGAAGGGGCATAATCAACCAAAAAAATACTATAAAGAATGAGAAATATAGTGGGCAAATGCAATGAATCAAGAGTGGAGTGTGGACCAGGTAAGACAAATTACAAATACAATTCAATGTGGCTTTTAAATTTTTATCATTATATTAGTCACTCGTGCCATGAGCATGACCCACACTAACGATGGGTCACGTGACTGCTTGAATTTTTTTTTATAATAGTCCCATTGCCAAACTTTGGTAGTCAAATATTGACCATGACTACCACACGTGTGCCATGAATGCTAGGCGATTGTGTGGATTAAATCTATAATTTTTATTCGAAATAGATTATTATCAAACTCAATGTAACGAGCTATATGTATTTTCTCGTCATTAAAAGTTCATCTTATTTTAACTTTTTTTTTTTTTTTTTTTTTGAATAAAATATGGAGTAGTTACAAGATTGTTTTTTAGTCTATTATCACTAATCTATAATTGGTTTAAATTAAGTTGTCCCTCCGTAATTAGGTTGTCTTTTTTCTTGTTTTTCTGTTTGTTTGGTTTTCTACCTCATTTGATTTATTTTTTTAAAAAAATCACTAATCCTTAATTGGTTGTAAATTTGTAATAACTTTCATTACTCACATTGTACCTTCTCGTTAAATACAGGTCTAGGCCGCACCCGCAAACTAAGATAGAGAGTCCACTTCACAAGATCCCAAAACCTTATAGTAATAGGAGGAGTAGCCCCTTAGCCGACACTTACATGTGTCATTCGATAGGATTTATTTTTAACAAATAAGATATTTTATAGCCTATTATAAGTTAAGTTTTAAATCTCATATTTGTATAATTCAAATGTAAACAAGTCGTGGACAATTGGAGTATTAACTTGTATTAACTTTCGATTAAAAACAAATAGGTCAAGTTTAGCGGTAAGGTTTGAGGTAAATGGTAAACGTTTTAAGACTTTTAACTCTTTTAAGTTTAACCGTGCCAAAAGGGCCCAAAACTCTACTAGACTACTACGAAAAAATACAATCCCTGCTCCCTCGCTCGTCAGTCACTAGTCTCGCCCCAACCTCTCTCGTAATTGATCAGGTTCGTTGTTTTTTTGCTCAATTTTCTTAAGAATGTTAAAGTTTGTCCATTTTATTTCGTAATTCTCTTTATTTGGTTGAATTTTAGTATGATTTTTGTCATTAATTTCTATATTTTCGTCGTGTTACTGAGAATCTTTTGATGAATTTATATGTTAATTTACACCATAAACTTACCAAATTCCGTTTTATGCATGTTGAATCTTGCAGAATTACATGTATATCTTACTGTGAATTTGGTTCTTTTTCTTGATTTTTCCCAGCAATTATCTTTTGTTCAATTTTGATTGCATCTAATTTGATGATAGTTTTAGAATTGCTGAAAAATTTCTAAATTGCACTTTGATTAATTATTGATGAATCTGCTTGCCTTTTATAGTTTGATGATAGTTCTTGAATTGCTTGTCTTTCAAACTCCTAATCCGCTGCAATTCTTCTCACAAAAGAGAAGAATTGCTTTTTATTTAATCAAGTAGTTGATTTGGAGGTCGCTCCAGTTAATTTCCGAGATAAACAAGTTCCGTTATCACAATGCAAGTGGCAGTTTTCCCTATTTTTACCACAAAACTTACACTTTTGCCTTGTGATGGATGGATATAAACGTGGATTTTCTCTTTGATTTGATGATTTTTAACCTATAATAATAAGACCAATTATCGAATTTATATTCAAGTATGGAAAATACAGTAGTATAACATTGGTTTAAAATTTATAATTCCTCATAATTTTAGGAGCACAGAGGATGGAGGTTGATGGGATAAATGTGGCGGAGGCGGAGGCGGAGGCAGAGGCAGAGACAGGGAAGGGGGTTAAGAGAAGAAGGTTAACACCCACTTCTAAATTGGAAGGTGCTAAGGAAGCTCTTATCTGGGTTCGTTTGAGTTATGGAAGTATTAGCGATGGCAACTTAAAGTGGTTTAAGATCAACATCTCAGGCAGTTTGCTTGAAAAGCTTAAGCAACAACGTTATTTATCATTGTCTTGTGATAACATAGAATGTGACATTGATCCCAATTTCAATGGCCCTTTTGATATCCCAAAACCCATTCCATCCCCTACGATTGATAGAGGTTTTAACAAAATGCCCCGTTGTGCTTCTATTGGATCTATAATGTACGCCCTTGGTGGCGAGAGAACTGCATTCGACGACATGACCTTACACCAGATCAAGAATGCTGCCTCAGGTCGTGATTGAGCCTGTTACTGGTGGCAAACCCTCTTATACCCGCCCTCCTAAAAACAATAACATCTATAATTCATCTCACCGCTTTCAATCTTTTGATTTCAGCCAGCCTCACCTTCAGTGTGAGATCAGTGGAAGCCCCCTTAATACTCCTCGCTACCTCCCGAAACTGGTTACCATTGATGGTAAGCTTTATATTTTTGGTAGTTATGATATTTCCGACGAGGAAGCTTGTTTTGCTGAGGTGTATAATCCCGACATCGGATATCGGGTGCCACTTCCAAAGCCTCCCTTTGGTAGGTTGTTTGACAATGAACTCATAGTTTTACCCATGACCAAGTATGGGAGGCTTTTATGTTAGGATACCGTTTCAACATAATATACACCTTTGACACACTCACATGGTATTGGCGTCCTTTCAACAATTGTCCAGATCTTGCTAAAACACTCTCCAGCTTTGGCGTTAGGCGTAGGACTGATGTTCTACTCTCTGAGTCCAATGCTGTTCTCTACTGGATCAGCCCAGGTGGGCGCTTATGTGCCTAATTTGTTGGATGGCAAGCATTGTACTACAGTCCTCTCTGGTTTTGAGAGTGAATATGTAAACCATGTTTTGAGGGACTACACTGCCCATCCTTTAGTGTTTCTATCCTTATCCAAAAATCTCTTTGCCCTCATATGGTGCCAAAAATGCTTGGATGATGATTGTGTTCTGTCATCTCGCTTGCATATCAAGATGTTGCATTTCAATACGAATATTGATACTGATTCTGATTCTGGTGACAAAATTGAGCCCTTTTTGGCTGTTACTATGGGGAAATGCCTGACTTATACGTTTCAGGACAAAAGTGCTATTTTAATTGATGCCATCTTGATGTGAGTTTTTCTGCATCCATCACTACACTTCCCCCTCCTAGCTATTGTTAATACGAGTACTATATTTTCTGTTACCTTCTATGGAGTACTTTCATATATTGTGTTGTGATTAATGATATTAACCTTGCTCTGAATTGGTAGATTAAGTATATTTATATTGGTTGCTTGTCTTTAGTTCTGTTTGGCTCCAAGACTACTGGTTTCCAATTGATGAAAAATGTTTTCTTTGGAACCATATTTACGTGCATGTTTCAATATTGAGCCTAAAATAATACAGGGATTGTGTTTGTTGGGAAAATGTTGTCTAAAACAAATAGAGAATGAATATAAGAGAAAATTGGTGGAAAATCTACTATGATTCTTCTTTTAAAGTGGGATTAGCAGTTTCAGTACTTGGCCTAAAATAATCTGGGGATTGGCTGCAATGCTTGTTCTGTTTATTATGTGATTCGGGGTCTTGGGCTGGTATGATTCATGTAATTTAAAGTCATTGCTAGAGTTGGTTTTAGAAATTTTATAATTAGTCAATTGCTATGTCCTCATCTACTGCAATCAGAAGGCATAGTTGTCGTGTCACAAATTGACTGAAGAACATGTGAGAAATTGGGTTGTAGGGATAGAAATCTTTACATCATGCTTGAACCGTCAGCTCTGCGTGTTCTGTGGAATTGTTTGGCAAGGTAAGTTTGCTATCAATGTGTTAATCCTTTTGGGTTCTCTTTAATTGGGCATTTAGAGTAGCAGATATAGTTACAAAACACTTTGTTTGAAGCATGATAAGCCTTGAAATGGACTTTTGCACTCTTCTACATAAAATATCTGTATGCAATTGTGCATTTCATTCCTCAGCTAGTATTGCTAACACTGGCATATTTTGTTTGTCCCTGAACTTGAATTTTCTACCTGTCAGGGACTCGGGGATAAAGATGAAGGGAAGATATCAGCTCCGTGGCCGCTGCCCCCTGGTAGCATAGAAAGCTGGCTGTTAGAGCATGAGAAACCATGGGAGTTGCTGCTAAGAGTTACATGTTAAGCCGGTGTATTAAGTTTATGTATATGCATTATTTTATTTTGAATATATAAAGTGAGACTTACTTGGAACTAATTTCTAGAGAGTTATCATCCATTTTAAGACTAGCAAGTTATTGCACGTTACGCTCAATTGTTTGGAGTAACTTAATTTGCGAAGTTAATGGACTAATGAAGGAGGCCTTCAGGGTAAAGTATTGTGAATTATGGCCTTAATTTGTAATTTTGGTGGTTGTGTTTATTTTGTAAGTAGCCCTAAGATGTGAAGACTACTACAATTTTTCTGGGCTTATACTAAACTAGGATTTCCCTTCTCAGCGTAATTGCTCGTCTTCTCAACTAAACAATAATTCTCATTAAAATCCTTGTCGACAAATAACAAGAGATTTTGGCAATGGAGTTGGCTATCTTATTAAAGTTTTTCCTAGCAAAATAAATCTAAAGGTACACAAAGCAAAATTACATCTAGATAGTTTTCTAATCATATTAGAATCTTTATTTATTTTTTGAAGACAAGCGGGAATTAGTATTAAATCAAATGAAGGTTTGCCAAAGTTTGAAAACTTTGGGGAAACAAACCCATCAAATACGCTCAGAGTTGAAATTGGTGTCCCATCTAGCAGCTAAGTGGGCAACCGTATTTTTTGCTCGTTTGCTTGTCTTTGTTTTAGTTATATTACTGTGTGTTGCTTTGTTTGAGATTTCTTCTCAATTTTACACCAAAAAAAAAAAAAAAAAAATTGACCCCCAAAACATTACCCGATCAATTTCAATTAAATTAGGCTTAATTCGACATTTAATTAACAATAGATTATTCAACAATTAGGGTTGTTCGACACTAAAACCTAGTTTAATTGTAGAGTTTAAGGCTTATTTGTTCTTTGTGTTATTCGCGTTTGAGGTAATCCTTCACCTTCTCTGCAATTTCTTCAAAGTTTACCATAAAAAGCTTGCAAATTTATGAGTAAAGCTTGCAATTGATAAAATTGGGTGAAAAATTAGCTTCTATGAAATGTAGTAATGGCGAGGAGAAAGAAGATAGAAGGGTGAGGCTGGGTAGTTAGGTCAACTGAAGTCAACATTTAGTTTTAGGTCGTGGAAAATTAATTCTCTATACTTTCTCAACCGGTCACCAGTCATCCGGGTCCAATAAAAGCGAATGGGTATAAAAGTTGGGATTATTAAATGATAATTGGTAGTTGGGATTATGAAAAGCTAATGGGTAAAAGTTGGGATTATTAAAAGGAAACTTTGTTAATTACTACCTAAAAAACAGAGGCTTTGTGAATTACTACCCCTAAAAAAAAGTTTTTAATTACTATCCCTAATTTACCTAAATAGGACCGATTACTACCCAATTGCACTTTCGGGTGACTTAACTCACCTTATGACGTCATTACTCCAATTTAACCACAGTTCACACTAAGTCTAATCTAATTAACCTAACTAACCCAAAAAAAAAAATACCCCAACTAATCTTACCCACATTAATACCTTACCTAACAATCAGAAAAACAGAAAGAAAAAAAAAAAAAAAGTAAATTCCCTCATCTCTCTCTTTCTCTCTTGTACTCTTCTTCTTCCCTAACAAAACTCATCTAAAACCCAGAATTCATGTTTGTGTTCGCAGTAATGCAATTGCATGCTTAAATTTGCCCTAATTAACAAAGTTACTTGCCTGTAAACAACATTCGTCGTGTATTGAGCCAAAAATGGGGAAGAACAAAGGAATTGCCATTGGAGGAGAAACGAGAAAGGCCCCTGTAATAGTTGGTTTCAAGTAAGTAAAGTTATTGTCTTTATGTGCTTAACACTGTTTAAATCATTTTGCATAATAGAAATTGATGAGTAATTGGAATGCGTGCTTAAACCTAGGTTTGAATTGATTTTTAATTGTATAATTGAGCTAGTTGTTGTTTATGGTGGTACTGTGAAATTACTTGTTTGATGCAATAGAATAGAAAAGTTGAAATGGATTCCTTCTTGTAACTTGTTGAATGCTTTTAAAATTGTACAGGGTTGTTCAGAAAAAAATTCCACCCTATATTGGTATTCGAATGTTTTATAGGGGGAATTTTAAGACCAGTAGGAGTGTGGTGTTTTGGGGTGGGGGTGAAATGTTGTTAGAGGGTCAGGTATCTACAAGGACCATGAGCATTGGGTCTTTAAATAGGCTTGTATTAGATAGGGTCAAAGTCAAATTTGGGGAGTACAAAATTTGGTACTGAAAATTTGGCAAGAGTTTGAACACTGGGAGAAAGGTATTGCTTGACCAGCGGGACATTGATAATCTGTTGAAAGGTGTTGGGCAATCAGATGTAATTACTTTGTATGTTGTGTTTGAGTGTGATGAATGGCAAAAGTTAAATGTGGGCCCTTATACAAAGTAATTCAATAATGGTAGGTGGTTCACAAAAGGATGATGTTTTCATTGAAAAACCAGCTCAAAAGATACCCTCACTTCAAAAAACCCTTCCCCAAAACACCCTCCACTACTAACAACTAATGTAGAAAGGGGTACCACTTCTTCAAACCCTCACCCAAACCCTTCTGTAAAGCCTACCTCTTCTCAATCCCACCAGTTCACAAGATCTAAACTACTTGTGAGGAGAAAAACATCCCAAAAAACACCAACTGCATCTCCTGTCAAAACATATGCACTTAGATCTAGCCAAGAAGCTCAGGTCATTAGTGAGAGTGAGTTTAGGAGGTACATAGACAACTTGAATACAAAGAATGATGTTGTGGCTGCAGAGAATAAAGGGAGTAAGAAGAAGGAGGATATGGCTGTAGAGAAGACAGGGAGTAAGAAAAAGGTATCCAGAAAGGGGAAGGAGGTAGCTAACTCTGTTCCAGAACCTAGGTCAACAGGTAAGAGAGTTTGGCTGGGTGGGGAAGAAGATAATGAAAGTGATAAGGATGGGGATAAGTTAGAGGAGGCATAATATTTGCTAGAGGATGGAGATGAATTGAGAGAACAATTTGAGGACAAAGATGAGTTTAACTATGAACTTGATGTCCTTCCATATTTAGATGACTATGATTTTGATTACAAGGAGGAAGAAGATTTGTTTGCTGATGATTTGGGGGCAAATATTCTAAACACTGTAGTGAGAAGCATTGGAGGAGTTACTTTACCTGCTAGAGAAGTGAAGGAAGTCCCTAGTAGAGTCACTAGGTCTCAAGCTAGGCTACAAGTTGACTTGGCATAACAGTCAAACTTAGGTGAGGAAATTGACTATGATTCTGAAGAGCCAGGAAGCATAGATGGGTCAGATGAGGAGGCTAACAGGACACAAACATTCAGCCCAGAAGTTGTTTTTGAGCAGCCAATTAAGCTCACACCTAGGTTAAGGTTTCCTTCAGTGAATGTGTTTAGAAAAGCACTAAGACAACATGCAATAGAGAACAAATATGACTACTACTTGCTGCACAATGGGAAGAAGAAGGTGACTGCTTACTGCAAAGATAGATGTGCTTTCCCATGAGACCCAAAAAGGTCTAAGAGAAATTGTCTTCAGCCTTTGTGCAAGTTCAATTGTGGAAAGCAACAAAGGCTACAACTGTGGTATGCACCTCATTTTCCTAAATGTATGCTTAAAGCCAGTGTTTGTTGTTGTAATTAGCTTAGCTTTGGTTGTTTGGTTTACTGTGATTGTGCAGCTAGAATTCAATGAGCATATGCAAACATTGAAAACCATGTCTGAGAAAGCATATGAATACATGTCTGCTATCCCCTCCTATTGCTAGAGTAGGCATGCATTTTCTTCTACCCCTAAATCAAAAATGCTTTTGAATAACATGTGTGAGAGCTTTAGCAATGTGTTAAAACAAGCAAGAGACAAACCAATTTTAACACACATGGAATGGATGAGAAAATATGTTATGCAAAGAAATTGTCAGAAAAGGGAGGGAGCTCAAAAAATGCAAGGGAGGTTCATGCCTTATGTTAAGAAACAATTTGATTGGGCTGAGAGAATTAGGAAGTACAACATACTGACTAGGAGTACAGAAGAGTTGTCTGAGGTTGAGAACAATGGAGATAGGCATCTAGTTGATTTGAATGCATGGAAATACAGTTGCTATTCTTGGAAGTTGACAGGGATACCATGCCACCATGCATATGCTTGTATTTTGTACATGAGAGGGGATCCAGAGGATTATGTGGATGCAACTTATTCAAGGGACAAAGTACCTAGCTGCCTATTCCCTTGTATTGATGCCTATGCCAGGGCCTAAGCAATGGGAAAAGACCTCTTTATTTGAGCCACTTCCACCCCTATTTAAGGTCATGCCAAGCAGGCCATCAAAGAAGAAAAGGAAGAAGGAAGTTGGAGAGGATGCTGAGAGGGCTGCTGACCTTGCAGAGAAGGCTGCAAGAATGGGTAGGAAGCCATACAAGTGTTCCAATTGCAAGCAATATGGACATAACATCAAGAGATGTAACAACCCAACCCTTGACACCTCATCTGAACCCAATAATAAGGGTGGGAAACCATTCTCTGATGACCCATGGGTGGTGCATAGCAAAGCAATGAGGGCTGTAGGGAAGGAAAAGAGGTCTAAAAACAAGGTACTTGTATTTCTCTTTTGGTGTTTTTGGCCTCCTTTACAAAGTTTTATTTCTTAATTTGGTGGTGGATTGTGCAAGGTAACAACCAGCAGGCAACACAAGCTAAGGTTGGAGCCCAAGCATCAACTGTCACAGTAGCAGGGCAGTCACATCAGCCTAGTAGTCCAACTGATGAAATGAGAGAGTAGTTGTTTGTTTAGGTTCAAAGTACAACTATTATTTAGTGTGTTTGGTGTAAGACTTCAACATTTAGGCAGTTTAAGTCCTATTTTGTAGTACAATTATGGCATGCATGCCTATTTTGCCAAGTTATGTTCAGTTTTGACTATTTGTGTTGGTCTTGGCAATTATAGTCAAGCTGTTGTTATTGTGTATGCTGACTTTACTTATCAAATGAATGTATTTACTTTGCTTTTCCTTTTTTTTATCTTGATTGATTTGGTTCAATTACCTTGATTTGCAAACAACAATATGAAAGTCAAATTCAAACCATCTTATTGATAAAGTTAAAGCACTTCCAAGTTACACTACACATAACAACCAAAGACTACTATCTTACCATTTCACTACCAGTTGCTTAGTTTGACATCTCCACAATTATGCTTCATCTTCAACATCACATACTTAGTCTTAATTTTCTTGGATTCCTGATTCAATGATGCCAATTGCTTCTTCTTAATCTCATTCTTTGTTCTCAGTTCCTGTCTTTCTTCCAAAAGCCTTAGTATGGTGTCCCTTTGCCACTGAGTC